AAGTTCACTGACGCCTTTCAACTCGTCTACCGGTAACTCTGTTTTCCATATTTTCATCGTGGTCCTGGCTCGCTAAAACTTCTATACGATCTCTTGTTTCAGCCGAATTCGTCAAAGTTGTCGGTCAATCACGAATACATGTTGTTTTGGTAAACACGTTTTCTTAACCAATAAAACTTTGAACGCCTGTGCATTTCTCATGTTAATCCAGTGTTATATGAATTTGGGTAGGGTTTTTAAATGAATTTATGTCGGATGGATGAATATTCAACTTTTTGTTTAAAGTAAATTATCTCAAAATAGCAGTCATTAGTATTCAGTAACATGAATAATAAAATTGACTATATTCTGGAAATAATTATCCACTAATTTTTCGGTGAACGCCGTAGACGTATTATTGTGATTTGAACTACGAAAAACAATATACATAATAAGTATACCTTTTATTAGGAAGTGCTACAAACACAGTCATATCTTCCATGTTGATGTCTTTGTCAAGCCAGGAAGACCCGAATCCTCAAATTGAAGAACCGTTTGAATTACCTTTACAAACTGGCTCAAAAGAATCGAATAGAGAAGACTTGGTTGAATGCAGATACAATTAATTTTACCCCGGGCACCAAAGATAAATTACATGAGTTCTTTCATAGAGAAATTTCACAGATTGAAAAAAGAAGTGAGATAAACACGTTTTCCGAAAATTTGAGTCATTTAAAAGAACATGTAATTGGAAACATTAAAGAGGCAATGTCTAATGAAAAGATTCGGGAGTTAGTTATCGAGGTTGCTAGAGATGGAAGATACAAAACAAAAATCGTCCCTATAGATATTTGGGACTTTGGGGGTCAGAAAGATTACTATATGACACATCAGTTGTTTATCACAAGCCGGGGAATTTTTGTACTAATGTTTAATGGAAGCCAAAATATGCACCAACAGATGTCTGATTTGACATTTCTACCTGGTCATTATGGACAACCGACTATTGCAGGTAAGACAAATTTCATTTTTTTCAAGGTTAAATGGTGTTAATAAAAGTTGTGTCGGAAATCTGCACATAATTCATAAGATGGAAAAGCAATTTCGTATAGTTTAGATAGCAATGTGAGATTAATTCTATTGAGAAATTTTAAAATTTATTTAAATTGATTCTAGCCAAAATATACTTTGTAATGTGAAAATGTTTACATACTTTTTTTCTTCTCAAAATACCAATACATAAAAGGAAAGGAAAAAGATTTCATAAAATTTTTGTAATGTTATTTAACGTTGCTTTCATATTGTACACTTGTATTCGCGTGTTAAAATAATGAGTAAAGAAGACGTGATACTATAACTGGAAAATTCGAAGTGCGAATTCTAATAACAGGACAAAATGATAACAAATGTAGACTTAATTGGATTGCATTACATCTATTCGGTGACATCACTATGAAATGTTTATTTACTAATGCAACACTGCTGACAGAATGCTTGTTGGTCGTTACAAACTGATGTTAGGCAGATAATATACCAAGCAAAAGCACATAATCAGAAAGAAAATTGAAAAAAAGGAAAGAGCTAAACAATCCTCTGAATATAAGTATTGTAGTAAATTTATCGATATGCTATTATATATAGGTGATAATGTATATATAAAAGAATGATGCAAAACGATTATCTCACATTGGCATTACTTCATTATATATTAATTTCAGTTTACCTAAAACATTGGGTGAATTCTATATTGACCTTCTGCAGACGAATGAAGTAATGTTTCCCGAGGATTTTATTTGTGGCTACACATAAAGATCAGGTTCCAAATGTAATTTCTTTTACGTTAAAATATTTCAATTCAGTTCAGTATAATATAGGACAATTTACAACCACAAGACTGCTGTTCCACCCACCAATGGTTAGCGGTGTGTCTGTGTCTTTACCTGCTCGCGATATGTTTTCCCCGAGTTAGATCTTTAGATACTAGGACCGTCGTCTGTTTACTAATTTTGTCCTTTTCCGGATTGTGACATTTTGACTGAGTGTGGATTTGCATGAAGGGTGATGCACACATAGCAGGAGACGCTTACATGTGTTTGAGCTTTTGGTTTGCCATTTGATAAGGGACTTTCCGTTTTGAATTTTCCTTGGAGTTTGATATTTTACTTTTTACCATGAAGACACACTCGGTCTCGCTCCTTTGGAGTTCATGCGATTAATTTTGATATTTGTTGTCGCGATACGTATATTCTGAATGGATTAATGATATTTGGATATCGGTAAACTTCTGTTGCCTCAAATCTTAAGGACACATTTTGACTTACTTAAATTTACAGTACTTTTTATTAAAACTAAAATTGCAACTCCCTTGGGTTGACGTTATTGTGCAGGGCTTCTACTATTAAGTTGGTGAACGCAAATATGCCATCGAACTTGAAATACAGATACGGTTAAGTATGATCATATCTTGACTTATATCTAGACATTAACATTGAGGGTCGGCTAAGAACAAAACTGTACGACAAAAGGAAATATCTCCACCTCCTAATTTTGAAGTTTTCATTTCAACATTCCAGCAGCGCCTGCATATAAGGTATATCTCCCAGTCGATGCAAAAATTCAGAGCTTGGGTTTTCTAACACGATTTTCTTGATAGAAGGTCGCTGCTTACAAGGACGTTATTGAACCAAGGGTTGAAAGTGGTTAAGTTGGTCATTCCTTTGAAAGTCGTTTATCGATTATCTAAGCTGTATTTGGCAAAACTTTTAGGAATTTTTGGTCCTTAATGCTCTTCAACTTCGTACTTTATTTGGCCTTTTTAACTTTTTTTGATTCGAGCTTCACTGATGAGTCTTTTGTAGACGAAACGCGCCTCTGGCGCAAATACAAAATTTCAATCCTGGTAACTATGATGAGTTTATTTATCATGAGTTTGTTGACCGTAATGGAAAATCTGTGGAACAGATGACCATGAATATGTTCCAATTGTCGTAACCAAAATTCCGTTCTCTATTCTTCGATTGTGGCATCAAGGAATGAGACTTATCATCGAATTTGTACTCAACGGGTGCCACTAGTAGAGCAGAATCTGCATACCCTTCCGAAGCACTTGAGATCACCCCTGTTTTTTGTAATAGCAACATTAACGGTACCAATTTGCACCAGTTGGGTATTTTGAAAATAGATGCTTCTTCAGTGATGTTCGAGACAAAATATTTGAAAATCAAAAATATATTCTAAAGATGAAAGGCTAATAAACCAAAAAGGCCAAAAAGTATACCCAAAACCGGGTATGGTGAGATAAGGTTCGTTTTTCTCAGTCTTTAGTTTCTGTGTTTTAATGTGCGGACTCGTTCACTTTTCGTTGTCTTCTGTGTTTTCCATGGCGTCGTGTGTTTTACTTCGACTTATAAGTTTTGAATGTATCTTGGTATATTCCGCTTTTTTAAAAAATTAAATGTGGGAGTAAAAAAAACGGTCAAGATAAATAGACAACCATGGCTTAACAAAAAAATAAAAACCAACATTCCAAAAACGCTACACAGAAACCTAGAGATTGAGCCACACAAATCGACCTAAAACTCAGGGTGTACGCAGATGCTCCGAAAAGTTTAGCAGTGCCTGTCCCACAAACTTCTCTAAACTGTATCCGTATTTACATATAGAATACAGCCAGCATCAAATTAAAGAACAACATGGTTGATTATATCATAGGAAATTAAAGTAAACAAGTAAAGATATTTATGAGCCTACAAGAGGAATATTGGAAGTTTCTGTTTAAAACGGAAATTTTTAACAATTTTAGAGACAAGTAATACGTATTCAAATGCAGCAGATAAAAAATGAAGTATGATTTGAAAGATAATATTGAGTTAAATTATACTAAAATCTCCAGTTGAATTTTTCTCATCCGCTATTCGTCTTTGTTAAGATGTTCATAATTTTGTAGTTTTAATAGGATCAATATATAGTGTTCGTTCGTTTGTCATTTCTAGTCTTCCCTTTCGAACAGCTCAGTTTGAAAATGAAATTGACGACAAAGTATAGATCTGGTGTTTTTTTTATTGTATCATTTATTCATTGTCGTTTTATAGACCTTCGAATGCTTGTATTCTAAACTGAGATACAAACAAACAAAAAGTTATAGTGACAAACTTTTAATAAATAAAGGCAACAGTAGTATACCGCTGTTCGAAATTCATAAATCGATTGAGAAAAAAACAAATCCGGGTTACAAACTAAAACTGAGGGAAACACATCACATATAAGAGGAGAACTACGACACAACAGAAACACAACATTAAAATGTAACACACACAGAAACGAACTATAACATAACAATGGCCATTTTCCTGACTTGGTACAGGACATTTAAAAAAAAATGGTGGGTTGAACCTGGTTTTGTGGCTAGCCAAACCTCCCGCTTTTATGGCAATGTTAAATATAACATTAAAATGACAACATTACATGACAGGACTACAATTCAAATAGATGGGAGAACATATAGGACAGAGAAACATAAGAAAAATAGCTAACAAAAGGTACCAGGTTTAAAATTTAATACGCAAGACGCGCGTTTTGTCCACACAAGACTAACCAGTGACGCTCAGATCAAAAAAGTTCGAAAGCCAAAACAAGTACAAAGTTGAAGAGCACTGAGGACCAAAAGTTCCAAAAAGTTGTGCCTAATACGGCTAAGGTTTTCTGTCTGGGATAAGAACATCCTTATAATTTAGAATAATTCATACTTTTGCAAACAGTAAATTTATAAAAATGACTATATAATAGATATACATGATAACAATGAAGTGGTGACTAACTACAGAAAAAAAACGGATACATAAAACAACATAAACCAGCACATAAAAATTCACAGCCGAGTTAGCCAAAGAGATCAACGCACAAAGTGACGTCATATTTGAATTTTAAAAAATTTCCCCAAAATAGGATAGAATTAGGATAGAATTCAAGATTAATAAAGCAGATTTAACCTGCATTTTTGTATATTTTCATCAAGAATGAAGTAGAACAACAACGACAATATCTTATAAGATCAATCCATGAATTATTTGAATACCATTCTGGACGCGGCCATTTAGAATATAAGAATCTTTTATTCATCGATGCCAGAGACAGTTCAGACACTGATATTGCACTTCTTAGACATCTGTTAATGCAGAGAGCAATTGACCATCCACGATGGGGAGAGGACATGCCTACTGCCTGGGTTCCTTTAGAGTTAGAACTATTACAGGAAGTTGAAAACGGTAACAACATTATCTCAAGATCCCAGTTAGAAACATTGAATGCTGAAAACAAGACATTCACTTTGACTCCAAACCAGCTTGAGGGTTTTCTGAAAATTCAACATTCGTTGGGAAAGTTAATATATTTTGATGAAATGAACCTTAGAAATTTTATCATTATTAATCCCGTTTACTTGATAGAGATACTGCGTTCCATTGTCACTGATAAACAGTTTTGGCCAAAAAAAGAATCATGTACGGAGTCATTTCGACGTTTGAGAAAAGAGGGTATAATAAAAAAGAAAACAATTTATTTAAAATGGGAGCAAGATGAATTCAGCCATATCCTTCCGTTCAAAGAGTTTATGTTAGATATTTTAATCCACCTTGATATCATTGTATCGCCACGTACAGATCTGAAAAATCTTCCGCTACCCCTTCACACCGTTTCCTTCTATCTTGTTCCTTGTATGATTACAAACCCTGACAACACCAACTACATAGCAACGTACTGCAATGACAAAACCAGTATAGTTCTTGCCTATACGTTCGTGGATGATGTCATTCCGCCAGCATTATCATATAGGTTTTTAGGTTCTATTTTAACTATGTGGGATTTAAAGATTTATAATGGAACACGTATGATTTTTTGCGATCTTACGGTAGTTGAAATCGATGATGAACACGACATTGCTGTTCAAGTCAAAGAAAAGAGAGTAGTCGTATCTTTAGTACATCATGATAATAAAACAAGAATAGTACCAACACTGTCATCTTCTATCCAGGAATGTCTCACCGCTGCTATTTATAGAATCTCAGAATTTTACTCGTCACTTTCTACAGATGGTAGTAATCATCAAAGGGTTAACACGACAGTGCCCTTTGAAATCGAATTTGGTGTATTTTGTCAATCTTCAATATGTTACCTTCATCATCGGAAGATGCCGTCAGCAATAAAAGTAACATGGAAATGTCATCAGCACAGAACAGAGCATGATGTCCGATACCTACGTTATTGGTATGCTGAGAAGGTATGAAACAACAAGACATATGAAATATATTATATTATATGAAAATTTCAAAACAATGTAGCTGAAATTCTGGTGACAAAAAATTAAATTCATTTCTTGCTTTTTCAAAAAATCATATAACTTGAGTCCCTTTGAGTGAAAGATAAACAGAAGTAAAATAAATAATAACAAATCATGTAATGTAATGTAATGGCTACAGAATAGAGGCGAATATCACATAAAAAAACTGTTTATTGCTTTACTCTTTGTTATATATTCATATGTAAAATGTATAAATATGTAAGTAGTGTAAAACGTTAAACCAATCGATACTTTTGATATCTTTGTTAGTTTTTTTCTATCAACTTGTTTATTTCTTTCAGATGTGAATAAGATTACATTGATTGAAAATGGTTCATTGTTTTATTCTTTTAAACATCTCGAGATTGCTTAGATTTTTGTTGAAATTATCTGTCGTTAAATTTTAAAAAAGTTGAATTTTTTTTTCTTTCTAATATTTCATTCTTTAAACATATTTTTCATATAGAAACCTGCAGAAAGTTGCTCAGACATATGTTCTGGTATGTATATAGTTGAAAAAGGCATTCATTGTTGATATTCACCCCATATGTACCAAGTGTTAGATTAGTTTTATTGATATTAAAGAAATTTCTTGGTATTCCTAAACGGAAGATTTTATACACACAGAAGAAGAAGTATACTTAACAACAAAATTATTTTCATTTACCTGTGTACGATATGACGCAGGTTTCTTCAAAAGTGATGATTTTATAAAAATTATTTGACATTTCACAGTGATTTTATACTTTAACTTTGTTTAAACCTGTTTATTTACTTTTGACTTTAATTATTTATCCCTTGTAATTTTTTATTAACTGTGTATTTGCATTCAGGTGTCACAGGTCAAATTTATTCGTTCATTGTGTGTTTATTTACGTTTTTTGATTGAGTTAAGCCTTCCAATTGATATTTTATAGTGTGTTTTTCTATGTTGTGATGTTATACTATTGTTTCAGAAAAGGTAGAAGGTTTGGTACCATTAAAACGTTTAATCCCGCTGCAAATGTTTGCACCTGTCCTAAGTCAGGAATCTGATTACAGTAGTTGTCGTCTGTTTATGTGGTTCATACGTGTTTCTCGTTTCTCGTTTTTATATAGATTAGACCGTTGGTTTTTCCGTTTGAATGGTTTTACACTAGTAATTTTTTGGGTCCCTTTATAGCTTGCTGTTCGGTGTGAACCAATGCTCCGTGTTGAAGGCCGTACCTTGACCTATAATGGTTTACTTTTATAAATTTTGGCTTGGATGGAGAGTTGTCTCATTGGCACTCATACCACATCTTCCTATATCTATTTATATATTTAAATAAAATAGAGAGGCAAACTGATTACATACAACTTTGCTAACATCATATGTTGACTTAAGTACTATGAATATTCACAAATATGTATATAAAGATGAAAATGGCTTTGTGTTTTCCCGCGGAAACAGCTCACCTTAAAAACGCGAAACAAAGCTTTAGCACACATTAAAATATCAATTAAGTCAGATCTATATTTTCAGCACTACAAAAAGCAGAAAACATTCCAAATATTGTGTGCTAGTCAGTAAAATAGAGAATGGAAACGGGGAATGTGTCAAACAGATGACAACCCGAACAAAGAGAAGAACACAGCCAAAGTCACAAAGGGTCTTTAACGATGCGAGAAAATCCCGTACCGGGAGGCGGGCTTAAGCTTGGCCCCAAACAATAATGTATACTAGTTCAGCGAAATGGCCACACTAAACTCCGAAACATACAAATGAACCAAAATTAAAAATAAAACACAAGACTCACAAAGTCTAGAGGTTCCTGACTTCGGAGAGGTGCAAAAATGCGGCGGGGTTAAACAATGTTTATTTCCGTATTTCTGCATTCTCGATTCTTCTCTTATTTATTACAGTTGTCTATGGGTAATTGAGATTTAAAAAAAAATCAAAACTGTTTTTGAAAGGTCCACTATTTAAATAGAATTCAAGGAACAAAAATATCATTAACTGCATTGTACACAAGCTGTCATATAGATTTGATAACGCAGATGAATGACATTTATGCTCTACAGGTCCAGGAAAATTGGAAATTGAACAGTACCCAAGTGATCAGCAGTTACGACGACTTGTCACAGAGCTTAGCATCAACACCTGTAGAGAACTGGCTATCAGTTTTGGTATAAAAGTCCATATATGGGAAGATTTGGAATACCAATTCCAGCATGATAACATGGATAACATCAAGTTTATGGCTTTATGGAAATGGAAACAAAAGCATAAGACAGCTTGTGTTGGCGACTTGGTACAGGCACTGAATAAATGTAATACAAGCATACACAATATCTGCCAGGTATGATTGTAGTAGAAAATACTATATATATTTAATTCGAATACTTTGTCCATGAGTTAAAATATTTGATATTTCGCTGCAGTTGATTTATAAAATAATCAAATAAGAGAGTTCCAACTGTGATCTAGACTTCCTTTGCGACTGTTTATTAACATACCTTACTGTTTACTGGCTAATAATCACCATATCAGAGGTTTATGTTGCATCAGATTGCTCAATTTTCCTGGGATTAGAGTTGTTGATCACTTTATGGGAGAAACATTGTAAAACTGTTCCATTAATGTATTAAAGTATATGTGCTTATTTCCTTCGGTTCAAATCCGTATTTTATTCTTGTGCATGTATACCTCTCCGAGGGCCTAGGTGGCCGAGTGGTCTAATTTTGTTCATCTACTGTATCACTAGCCTGCAAAACTGATGTTCAAAGTTCGAACCCCGCACGAGGCAGGTGCATTCGACTCGAATCTTAATTGATTTGGATTGCTTGTTTTCCTGTCGAAGGTCGTTCGTTCTCTACGATCACTCCGGCTTCCTCCATGAATAAAAACTGTCCGCAACGAAATAACCAAAAGTTCCAAAAATGGTGTTAAAAAAATCAAAAATCAATCAATTTATCATCTCTATATTTTTGTTTAAAGTAAAGGGAGGGGGTTAATATAAAAACGAAAGATTTTTTTTCCTACTTTGCCAAAATTGTGCCTAAAGTTTCTAAAGACTGTTTCTGGTATAGGCTACTATTGTCACCTTTGGGATGAAGAAAAATGATATTTTGCAAGCTCAATAAGATGAATATCGTCCATTAAATATGCTTTATACATATGTCTTTAAAAAGGATCATATACTAAAGTAAACTATATCGTATGCATCTTCTCCAGACGTCTCTCATAGGGAAAAACACACAAGTGACATTACAATTTACATTGCATATTAAATTAGACATAAGTCTTTAAATTATGCATGGGTATAATTTAAATTATTGAGATATCCTTTCAACAGATAGTTACAGGCAAAAATGATCTTAGATGGATTTGGCTACTATGTTTATGTCCTTTTTGGTCACATAGCCTCTTCAAGCGTTTCAGTTCTTATACATTGATGGCTTTCAAATATTCGGCTTTGAGCGATCCTGATGAAGGTAAATCCAGAAAAGCGCTTCGGACGCATGAAATGATAAAGTGATTTATTTTGCTTGAATTGTAACTAACGTATACGTCGAAGACATTAACAATTCTTTATAAAGTATTTGATTTTAAACAGAAATTTAAGGTGATTATAAGTTTTTATTTATTGTATCAGTATTTTAGTTCTTCGGGATGTATGCATAAATTGTGGTAAGTAGGAAATAAATATTTTTCTAAATTACCTCTTAAAATATTCAAGATAAGTGCATGTTTTAAGATGCAATGATGTGGTAATTTGAATCATAGTATGTGTATAAGAGATTTTCTAATAACTATATATTATTAAGTAACTGGTTATTTCTTTTCTTAATATACCGGCAACTAAATATGCAATCCACCATATCAATGACCTTTAAGTGCAGTATATATATGTATATTTATGTAACATCGAATTGTTATCACCCAAATGATTCGAAAAATCCAAAAGAAATAAAAATACTGTGTTTTCTTTAATGGGTTCATTTGATCATTTTTGGGGGTAAAAGTGAAGCTATTGTAATTAATCAAACTACATTTACCTGCCATTTGCATGATAAAATTGTTTCTTTTTTCTTTTATTTTTATTTTCCTTAGTGTATTATTCATCTTTGAAAATTTACGAAGATAACAGTATGATAGCAGAAGAATGAAATATGCTGCTAAAAGTACATTACAAAATTTGTATCTCAGATTTCTCGGAAGACATCCTTGATGTTGAACCTACTCTACAATCGCTGGAAGCCGTTTCAGACTACATTGGCAACAGCTCCCTCCAACTTGGTGTTGAACTTGGATTAGACGTACCACAACTTGAGAATATCCAAAATCAACTGAAAAACAAACCTCTAGAGCAGACGCGTGAAATTTTGACTCAATGGAGGGAATCTGGTCACCTTACTCCTTCAGTGAGATCGTTAATCAAAGCATTATATAGAATAGATAAAGCCGCTTGTGTAGACAACATTAACTTTTAAAAATTGAAAAGTTTTGAATAAAGACTTTTGTTAAAACGACCTCGCTTAAACAGACAGAATCTTTTCAAACTATGATAAAATGCAGTACGGGAGACTAAAGACAGTGATAAAACAAATATATAAAATATACAACTAATGAATATTTCGATAAACCACTGATGCACTTTAGGCGACAGGACCGATGGAAATCTTGAGTGCATTGATAAGATATTTATCTGAAGTGTATTTCAGTAGAAATAATTATTGTCCATGCAGAGACAAGGAATGGAGCGGTCATTGTGTATTTAATTATGGTTTTGATAAAATAAAGGGAATTTAGAAAGTTATTTCAAAGTACTTTTTTGCATATAATGCATAACATTAACAGCAATGTATATTTCTAGGACATTCTAATAATTTCAGGATTAATGCATCCTCATGATCAAAATATATTCATGTAATTGTAACTATATAATAACTAACATATAATGGATTTAGAACATTTTGTCGTCATTAAATGTACGTCCGTATATCTAGCCTTCCAATTTTTCAAATACCGTGCAAAATCTCTAGACGTCAAAGCTTGATCTGACATAATTTCTAAAATACTTAATGTGAGGGTACCCAGTTTGAACCTATTGTGAAAATTTGTCCATCTTCCATTTAAGAAACAGACAAAATTTTGTGTAGATGTATCCTTATTTACAATATAGTTCAACAAATTTAATTTTGAATCAATACTGAATCATAGAAAAATGGGTTTGTATCGATCCAACATTTTGTAATGGGGAGTACCTAAATTGCAACCATGCTTAACCACACATCCGTATAAATCGAAAAAAGGGGATGTTATGTGTTTTATTTCTCCACATTATTTTAAACAGCTGCCATTCTTGTTATGCATTTGGCATTAGTGGATGTTTGTGACATATTTTAATTTTCCATTTTTTAAAGTCGCATGCAACATGTCTATAAATTTTCCAAACAAACAAGACAAGCAAAAGAAGTCTGTTTATATACAATCTTATCCTCAGTAAACGTTGTAGACATGTTTAAGACCGCCACGTTATGTATGTGTCTATCCCAAGTCAGGAGCCTGTA